TTTAATATATTAGTAAGTAGTATGTAGACATCTGAGTATCTATTATGATATATATGCAGATAAAGATTTCATTGTTATCTTGCTGTAACAGGATATTGTGTACACAGGTTTTAGGAATATAGTTTTAGCTTTTTCATTTCAAGTAGTTTTATATCTTTATTAGTTGTGGCATAAGATGTATATGCTTGGGTTAAGAGTCCAAGCAGTTGGTCCATTTTATTGAAGGGTGGATAGGTTAGTCTATTCCTGTTCCTTTGTCACAAACTCTCTTGCTTGTCAATACAATAGCTTTCACCACCCTAGCTGATTAACATTATCTACCTACAGCTTTCTTCCCTAGCATTTACACACTTATAGTCACTCTGCTTATAACCCTGCACAGACAAGACATGGACTACAAGTAGCTCAGGTTTGTTATTTACATTATCTTTTCCTAAAAAGAATTCTACTATATCTATAAATATTTTATCAATAATGTAAAGTATAGTAAATGCTTATCTATTATTTATATCAAATAATCAAGATATCTTCTATTTTATCAGTATAAAGTGTTTAACATGCATGTATGTGTAAGAGCATGATTTGATTGGTAGTTTTGAATATAAGGATTGAAGTACAAGTTGGTTTTCTATAACTTAAAATAATGGTCGCCATGATTGATAAGTATGTATATATTCAAGTATGATAGTCATTTACTTTTTATAAGAATGACATAATCCTACACTCATGATGTAGGTTAATAGACACATCCCGGTGTCACACATCCTTTAATTATCACTCACTTATGTATGAATTTATATGTATTATCTATGTGTTATAATGAAACACAACGTGGCAGCATTTTATATATATTCCTATTCTTGGTATTAATAGGTATATATATTAATGACTGGTATTCTTCTAACTATATAGTGTGTATCTGATATATATTCAGTTATGATAAGAGACAATTAATATATGTATTACTGATTTGAAAGTCCTGCAAATTGAATATAAGTTATCTACAATGAACTAGTGATATGTAACTGTATGTGTTACATGAATGGATTATGTGACTGCTTTAAGTATGATATAATCAATATGCAGTCGTGTCTTTGAATGTTATAGTATGTATTGTATATCATTTTATATATTTGTTACAGGGTGATTGATTGATTGACTGACTCAACAAATAAATTGATTTAATAAATGTCACCTCAATACACAACCACAGCTTAAATATTGTTTTAGTTTCCATGGCAACAAGTTTCACATATTTATTCACGACAAGTATTTACCATTGTGGGGGATATTGACGACTTTGTCTTCTTCTTTAAAAAAATTCTGTGTACTCCCTTACAACTGTTTTTCATCAAGGTAGTATCCAGACACAGCTTTAATACATGTAGTACTATTTAGTGTTTTTTGAGGGATCGTCTTTCGTGGAATGCTGTTACATTCACTTAAAGTCCTATCATACACCAAAGGTCGTCTAAAATGAGTCGTGTGGAATACACTTGCCTAAAACCTGAAACAATATTGCTTAGCAATAATGTAAGAAAGGTGGATCCCGGACGGTTTGTATAGAAAGTTATCTCTGGCAGACGTATGTTTAAATGGTCTTTGCAGGAAGAGGATTATGCAGGCCTGTTAATTTTGGATATTATTGGTTTACCTAATTAGCTATAAATAAATGTTTGGTGAGTGTCTGGCTACTGCCGCTGGACGGGTACTGCCGCTGCCACTCTATAATTGTAAACCACACTTTTTTCAAAAGCAAAGAAAACAGGTCCCAGCATGCTTATGGGCCAAATTGACATTTTCAATATGGATGCTGAAGCAGCCATGTTTGAAGCGAGAAAGGAATCCTGTGAGCACTGCTGCTAGGATTATCTAGTGTTTCAGCTTCATGGGATATGTCAAACAAGATACAACAGATGTATGGCAGGACAGGGGATGGACAATGCTTCACAACAGTTAATGTGTGCTATAACAAAGAGACACCATTAGTCATTGTTAATATGGTCGCTATATGGCTCATATTGACAGTCTATAATGGTCACAGGATAACAGGCTGATAACTGTTTTGAACATTGCTGTCAGTGTAGCAAAATTAATTTTCAAGGTTTCTTCCAATCTCCTTAAAATCATATCTAAGTTCTCGCTGCCACAAAACAAAGATCTAAGGACATCTCATTACGGATCACGTCAAAATGCCCTTTCGCGAACTTTGACTGACCACTGAAATGACTAACAAGAAGTTGACATCAGCCAATTAGAAAGCAGCTTTCGTTTCAACCTGACGATTTCACAGTTCTCGATTAAAATCGATTAAAACTTTTGGGCCATAATTGTCGTTTGGAATTCCCCATGTTAACGTTTTCCAGGTTGCATGATTAGAAAACACATTCCAACTGTCACTTTCATGATCTGGTAAGCGACGCTTTGATTGGTCGGATGAAAGGTCGTTCTGATGTAACCCGTAAATGTGATGTCCTCAGATCTTTGTTTACAATAGCGAGAACTAAGATCAGATTTCAATGAGATAGGGTTTCTTCCAAACAAAATTTAGTTACATTGATACATTACATGCATTTGGGTAACATTTATCAACCCCTTTTATCTGTAAAACGTAAGATAAAATAGCTGAAGCATAATTATAAAATACCTATATTTGTCCACAAAAGGGCAGTATAGTGGCTAAAGCTTTGATTCTCCATATGGGTGCAATGTGTAAAGAACATTCCTGATGCACCACAGATGTCAAATGGAACCAGCACACAAAAATATAACATATTTTGTGTGTCAATATAAGTGTTGTGATAATGTTTGCAAAGTAGTAATTATAATCATGATTAATCTGCATTGTGGGTAAATGTTTTTCAATTAGTCAATGAAATCATGCAAATTAGTACAGGAATGAAAATTATTGGAGTACCTCCAGAATTCAGCACTGCAACTTCTCATCTTAATGATCTTTAACATGGATCATAGTACTGGGGAAGGCATATGCATGGCTACTGATGCCGTGAGGGTGAGTGGACTTTGGAGTCATATCTGAGCAATGTAGCAAGTGAACCTGCTGTAGACACTTCATCTTGTGCTATTGCTGTTATTGTGTACAGAAAATATACAGCTAAAATTTGAATCATTAGTTATCTAAATATAATCCCTTCAGCTGCATGAATTACCGTATTCGACGTAATAAGCGCCCCGCTCTTATAAGCGCCCAGGGCAGAATTTGCAAATATATTGGAAAGTGAACAATCCCAATTAGCACCCCTTCCGATTGATCAATGTTCACAAGACTTATTTATTCATGTACAATACGCACTCGTGTTATATGCACCCTTAATTATGGGCAATTAAATTGTAGAAAAATATATCTGTCGTTCATAATCATTTCAGGCTGTCAACATAAACCACAAAATTTATCTTTCAACTCTTTTTTTTTTCACCAAAATAATATTCTAATAAGAGACCCTTATTTCTAATTTTGAGAGCGCCATGGGCGCTTATTATGTCAAATATGGTAAGTTGAAACAAAATATGAAGAAAATAAAATAATTTCCTAAACTGGTACCCGCTATAAGATTTAGATACACTGCCGGAGGTGATATTTAGTTTTTAAATTATTGAAAACTCTCAACATCGCCAGGTTTGTTCAATGACATTGGCATTGCATGTAGCAATGATAGATCACTGAAAGGAGCCACTTGAAGACCCCAGCAACCCTGTTGCCATGCTGACATTACAGGTACCATGGTGTACCTTGCAACAACATTTCACAAATGGTACCATAGGGTATAGCAACATATGTGGTGCTCAATTCTAAAGGTAGGCCAAGTTATGTTTTAACACCATCAAATGCAAATGGAGAACTACAATTTGAGAACAAACAAGTATGTCAGAATTTAAGGATTATTGTAATCATGGAGATGGTGTCCTTATCATGATCCTAATGAAAACCGAGACATCTAATGGGCCTCAGATATAAAAAACCTGAGCTCCTCTATTATGAAACATGTTAATTTATAACAATGTAAACTAACTTATAGCCAGTGACATTAAATGCATTTTTAGAAGAACCCTTTCACATGAAAACATAACCTCCAATGTAAACTACAGGAGTTACTAAAATACATCAATAAAGATTTAATCAGTGATACAAATTTATATTTTTTTGTGCAAGTTTTTCAGGCTGTTTCTGCATTTTCAGGCTATGGTACTCACCTTAAAGAACTATTTTCACCAATGCATAAATGGGATAGTTGGAAAAATCAACATAAAACCATAAGTGGACATGATTACTCATTGTAAACAAGATAACATGTTTGTTAAATATCAGGCCTTGGTAAGGGATCTTGTCTGAATTTCAGGCTACTTCAAGACCTGTGTAAAACATGGAAATTCAGTCTGAATCAGATTATGGTTTCAAGTCATCTGTTAAATCTACTCATAACCTTTCAACGGGCAATAATGGCTGCACACACCAACTCAATGATTCTGAATTCAGGTCAAATCATGCATATGAACACCTGTGTAGTGTACGTGTTTGACGGGAACTTATGGATAGGTCGGTCTCTCCATTCATCATCATGCCTTGACATCCGTGACCAAACAATCAGACGTAGTCCCACTAACTTTCTTTCCGCGATTGGACCTTGTACCAAGCACACGCTAGGCCTGTAGTCCTATAGATCAATGTCTGCATTTCACTTGTTTAAAACACGTAAATTCCAGCAAGAGCTGCATTAAATCCACGTCATCAGATGCATTTAACAGTTCATTACAACACCTGTTTTGCAAGTTGAGACCGCCGACCAATATAAGTGTTTCATTTGATAAATTTACTCTTGTTATAAGTCGACTTACCTATATATCACTATCAGCCTAGGCTACATATTCAGCCGATATTTACCATTCTCAGCGTAACTTCTTTCTTATTTCGTCCTAATGTGAAAAAAAGATATCCTACTTAATCATATAGCTAGCCAATAAAAATAATCATAGGACATTACTTTTTGGATTGTATCTTCGATGCCTTCAGTGAATCCAAGCCTGGAGGTCGTAGATATCAAATCTCCGTATAGTCACTTCTTCCAGCCATAAACAAACACGAGTAATTGATAGTTACCTCCCTTGGTTAACTTAAAAAATCGCAATGTGGAAATGAAACGTAAAAGGTTATTGAAGATGTATGACAACTTTTTAAGAAAGCGCAACCATTATTAAATAAGACAATTACGAATTATAGATAAACGTACTGTTTTTGTCAATTGTATTTCATTTAAGAGGTTTTAAACACAAAATAGACACCTGTATATTTTTATTCCAAAGTGCTGACAGGAATACAGTTTACAGGTAAACATTTTATGTTCACAACAGACATGTATCTAGCCACTTTCATGCGACCCTTGAGTACAGTTGCACTTTGGAGACAAGAACACCTAGCGTTTAGTACAGGTTCACTTCAGAGTATAGAACACATACAGCGCTTGGTACAGGGTCACTTCAGGGACGATAACACCAGGTGTTTGGTACAGAGTAACTTCAGAGTCGATTGCAAACTAATTGCGGCGCCTTAGTCGACCACCTCACCATGTTGCCCCATCTGCAAGTCCTGTCATACACTTATGGCTAGGAATTCAAGCGCGAAAATATGTTTACCTACCTGTGTGGTTCTCCTAACCCTGTATCCTAGTAATGTTCTGTAGCGTCCCTGCGACCACGAGTAATGTATTTAAATGTAGTTATTGTACTTGAGGCAATCAGATCTAACATCTGTCGCTACTAAATGTGCTCATGACAAATACAAGGGTTCACGTGTGGCGTTCCTTCAATTAATGTGCAGATGGAAAACGACAGGTGCATGGGGATGGTATGGAATCATATGACATGATATTGATAAGTACATGGCAGTTTGGGGCACAATGCTGTGTTAATGTGTGGAAGTATATGTCCTCTCGTTTCTTTGTTCCACTTGAGTGGTAGTAGAATGTGAACTATGTTTGATTAGTGTTTTACAGTTGTTCATGTAAGTAGACAAAGTATGATAAAGGACCAGGGCCCACTGACATTGCCAAATGCAAGAAACGATCCACCCGTTTGAAACCTTTAAGAATATGAACAGGAGTGTCCATGCGACCAAGATGTTCGGCATACAACACCACATGCAGAGGTAAGGCCCTAGTAGTAGAAAAGGCTCATTTAATGGGGTTTCAGAAAAAATCATCGTATTCCATCTTTAGTCTTCCCCATGAAGGTAATCAGTTCCTCTCGTCACAAATGTCAGTAGTCTTGTGCTTGATCGTGTTATAATCTTGCAACAGTGTGTTCCCTACCGGCCTACATCCCATGTCGCCAACAGTCTTAAACACGTCGGGGTCTAGTGGTTCTAGTCGCCACTTAGTAACCTCTTATACAAATGAACTGGACCAGGTATAGACAGATTATATATTTTAATAACATATATAGAATAACAACAATTGGTGTGTGAAACACATATTATCATATAGTCTGGGGATATAGTCTTTCTTTTCTTGAGTTTATCAAAACATTTGGATTTAGAGTTCAGTTTGATATAGTCCTCATTTTCTTGTTTTAATGTTCAGTTCAATTCCCCTTGAAAAGTCGACTAGCAGCATCCTGGAACTCAAGTGGGGTTTTCTGTCCGCAGTGGAGGTGATCCTTAGTCGCATGATGCATGGTCCTGTTCACTGAGTTGATAGAGGCTGAGTCATGGGCGAGATGTGACAGTATGATCCATCCGCAGCCACTTGGCTCTGTCTGCAGCCTCAACCTTTTTTTATTTGCATCGGGAACTCGTAGATGCTGTTTTATTTTTCAGACGTCCATGAAAGTCTTTAAGTTAGTTGTTGGTCCGAGGACCAACAATGAGATGATGGTTCCAGATCCGAGCAGGGAAGCGGGCGTGTTAGTCTACCATAGTGGTTGTCAGCTTCGACGTCCGTCTAAATGCAGTCTGGGGTTGGCTCTACACCGACTGTTCACGGAGGGACACCTTTCAAGAGATGAACAGGCGCATATGGGTGGTTCTGGATTTGTTGGGCAACAGTCAGTAGCAAACAGGATGTGGCCACGCAACAAAGTAATGAAGCACGCTGTAGCCACAAGATTGGACACTGATAAAAATACCATCCATGTAGAGAGTGTAGGGGTCTGTGAGAAGGTCAAGCAGTATCAGGAGCACCGTCATCAACACCAAGGAACTGGCGACCGTTCTTGCTCTGTGTCGCCAGAAACCTATGATTGTGGGTTCGAATCCCGGTTCGCCCCAATTATGTTTCTAGGTTTGTCAGCACCATACCCGTGCTCGTGGGTTTCACCGAAGTGGTAAACGTCTGAGACCTGCATCACTTCGGGCTTTCCCCCCACATTAAGCTGACACGCCGTGATATAACTGGAATAATGTTAAAAGCGGCGTTAAACCCAACTCACTCACTCACTCACTCTTGCTCTGTGTCCATGAACCTTCCCAATATGCATCCGAGAGAATCTGCTGTAGTGGTGACAGTGTCTTTCTGTGGTATAGTCCAGACTTGATCTGGTGAAGAAACCCACAATAGCAACAAATATCGTCTTCATTAAGAACTTTCATAGCCATACTACAAAACATGTGAGTAGTGTAAGCGTGCTCTTTGGCCGCCAAGCCAGCCGGAGTCATCTTCCCCTACCGAAAGTGGGTTCTCTCCCCCTAGTGTATGCAGGTTCCAGGAGGCGTGCGCCTCAAAGATGCCGGCACGTCCGGTTCCGGGAGGGCGTGCGCCTTCAAGATCACGGCACGTTCGGTTCCGGGAAGGCGTGCGCCTCCAAGATGGCGAGGAGGAGGAGGATATAAAAAGCGCACGTAAAATCCTCAACTTAAGTAAGTAAGGCTATCATTGGGTTGGCAGGGTTGGCAAGCAGAGTGAGGAGGAGGAGGAGGGTTCTTTTTTGTGTTTTTTGGCAAAGCAATGATGAAAGTGTTCTTTCGGGAGAGTTGGGTGGCCCTGAAAAGGGCCGTTTGGAGAAGAAAAACCACCAACACTGGAACGGGAACGGGAACGGAAACGGAATCTGGAACTTCATCCTGGGGGAAAGCTTCCTCGTTCGTGCTGCTCTGATTCGCATTCTCGCACAGATAGTGCCAGAAAGTAGTTGTCTCCACGTTCTTCTTGTGTCTCACCATTCCGGTCATCTTGAGGTAGGCACAGTGGGGTGACTACTTGAGGTGTTCATCCCAAGGATCGTCGTGGGGCGCCCATCTTCTCAGCCGCACGCCGCATTGAAAGCAGCACACGCTATCGGTATGCTTTGTGTACACGAAGAACACATGGGCCAACCCTTCAGCGGGCTGACTCATCTGCATCGGCCACGCCTCAAACGAGACTAGTCTTCTATCAAAAGTTTGATGGGGTGGCGTCGGCGGCTTACTGGGCCCACAAGCATCCGTACCATCACTCCTGGGTCCACAAGAATCCGTACCATCAGTCACTGCCATTCTCGATGCGATGATTTTTCACAAGTGAAACTGAATCCTCTCGATGTATGTATGTGGGTCGAGCGGTGGAAGGCACGCGTCGGCTGGCGAGCTTGTGTAGTGACTGGTCCCGTTGCTTTCTATTGGCGATGCCTTCCCAGGAGCCTCCTGGCTAGGCTATGTTCCTCTAGAGAGAGACCTTGGTAGAGGTCGGGTGTGCTTGGTGCTGTTACAGGATGAGGTCTGCTTACCGGTTAAGTTCAAGACGGAGGTCTACCTCAACTTCTGGTTCCTGGACCGGGTCGGTCTGGACTTGGCTGTTGTTGAGGGTGGGGATTGGTGTTGTAGCGGTCAGGTTCTCCGTAGACTTGGCGTTGGGGTCGGGCGTAGGGGAGTGTCGGGAGAGGAGATCCCTCTCCTCTTCCTCTTCTTCTTTCCATGCCCTGTGGCCCCCGGCGAGCGGAAAGGCTCCTCCCCTCTGGATTCAAGGGGAGCAAGGTCTTTTGCTGCGGCGGAGGGCTGTGGGGTCGGGGGAAGGGTCTCCTCAATCTCCATGGTGGGGACTGGTGGGGACTGCTTCCTCCTGGGCGGCCTGACTTTCATGACCAGACGTGGTGTAGAAGGGGTCGGAGCCGGGGTCGGGGTCGGGGTCGGGGTCGGGGTCGGGGTTTGTTTCTCATTCTGCTTGGACTTGGCCGGAGCCTTGTCCAGAGGCTTCTATTTCTGGTTTAGGTCGAAAAATCTCTGCACGGTGATGGGTCCAACACGCTGCGCTCTGATGGGTCCAAAACGCAGCGCCGATTGGACCGTTCCGGTGCTTGGTCTGAGCCTAGGTTTTCCAAACCGGCCCGACCCTTGTGTTTCTTTTCCATAGGAAAAGGCCTGTTCCATGGGAGAGAAAGCACGACCCGCTGTTCGGCCAATCAGAGCGCCTCTGATTGGTCGAAAACCCTAGATTCTGATTGGTTGCATTTCGATCCTCTTTATCGGGGAGACATGTCCACCACCACCATTTCCTCTTGGGTATGGTGACGTGATTATATACGTACGTGGTGTTTTACTCGTGTATCCATGCAAACGTGTTGTCACTCGTGACTACAAACATACGTTTAGACAGACATTCGTGGTGTTGCTCGCCCATCCATGCATAGGTGTTTGCACTCGTGTATACATACAGGGGTGTTGTCACTCGTGTATCCATGCAAACGTGTTGTCACTCGTGACTACAAACATACGTTTAGACAGACATTCGTGGTGTCGCTCGCCCATCCATGCATAGGTGTTTGCACTCGTGTATACATACATGGGTGTTGTCACTCGTGTATACATGCAAACGTGGTGTCACTCGTGACTACAAACATACGTTTAGACAGACATTCGTGGTGTCGCTCGCCCATCCATGCATAGGTGTTTGCACTCGTGTATACATACATGGGTGTTGTCACTCGTGTATACATGCAAACGTGGTGTCACTCGTGACTACAAACATACGTTTAGACAGACATTCGTGGTGTCGCTCGCTAATCCATGCATAGGTGTTGTCACTCGTGTATACATGCAAACGTGTAGTCACTCGTGACTACAAACATACGTTTAGTTAGACATACGTGGTGTTTTACTCGTGTATCCCTGTGCACGGGTGGCCCAGTCGTCTAAAGCGCCGCGA